TTTCTCAAAACCAACAAAAAATAACAGTGGGGTCCATCATTTTGAATCCTACTATGTTCAAACTGCTGCTTCCCTCAAAATTCAGATGACATATAACTTAATCATGTCTTCTATAAGGGCTGAAGTAGGAAATTAAATTTTTAAAAATTTTTGCTATACTGGGGATTGAATATGGGAGCTCTACTACTGAGTTACATCTCCAGGCCTTTTAATTGCTTTAAAAAATGTTTTATTCTAATTTGTTATATGTGACTGCAGAATGCATTATAATTCATATTACACAGATAGAGCACAATTTTTCATATCTCTGGTTGTATACAAAATATATTCACATCTCTTTCTACAAGCTCTTCCTCTCATCAGTATTTCTTTAGCCTGTTTTATTTTTCCCTTTGTCACTTGTCTCTACATGATGGTGTCTAGTCTCCCCCATTAGAATGTGAGCTTTTTTGAAGAAGAGGCTTTGCTCACTGTTGTATTCACAGTACCACAGGCATGCCTAGCATGTAACTGGTGCTCAGTAGACATTTGCTGAACCATATATAAAATAAATGATATATATGTATAAATAGCTATATAGATTTTCTAATTATAAAAGTAGTACTTATTCTTTGTAATACAATACTAAAAAGTATAAGAGAGAAGAGTATAAAAAATTAGAGGAATTTATCAATAGTAACATATACCCCCAAGAAATGTGTTTATTCAGTCATCTTTAAATTTGAGGTACTTTGACCCTGTCAGGCCAGTCTGTAATGGAGATTTGCTCCATTTGTTTTTTGGTTTGTTTTTTTTTGTTTTTGATTTTTCTTTCTTTTTTAAAAGAAGGTAAAGAAGGATGGCTCCACAGGGATTACCTTGGAGAACACAGGATCCAGAACCAAACAATAGGGCCTTATGTTATCTGGGGGAATCTCTTATTTTACCTCCTGTAACTCTTGGTACCATAATTAGGCCTGCATATTACTTCTGAACATTGCCATACAAGGCACTTCATTTAGCTGGGCTTATAGAGATTAGATCATGCACAGGAAGCTGGCTCTTTGGTTATCAGGCTCCACAGAGGAATCGGGAGTCTTAAGCAATGTGAAAAATTAGGAAAAGCTCAGAGATTTTTTTTTCCCAGACTGTACAAGTGCCTTCATGGCCTTTGTTTCCTATAAACAGCATTGAGTTCTACCTTGGTATTTTTTTCCATAAATAAGAGCCTCTTTAAGCTTCCCTTTCCTCATCTTTAAATAGGGCTTCTAACACTGACTTTGGGAGAGTGTTGTGATTTTAATGAACTCTTTAAAGAATCTAGCATAGTACCTGGAAGATAAAAACCTACCATTTAAAAAAAAACAACAACAACAACAACAACAAACCTACATAGTTCCTGGAAAATACTAAGAACACAGTCATTGTCAATTCTTCTGTCTCTTTTGTCATCATTATCATTGTCCCTACTATCAGGTGTGCTCTGCTACTAAGCTACACCCCCAGCCCTTTTCATTTTTCATTTTATTAAGTTGCTGAGGCTGGCCTTGAACTTGGAATCCTCCTACCTCAGCCTCCTCAGTTACTGAGATTACATGTATCACTGTGCCCAGTCTTACTATGAGATTATAATTTATTATAACAGAATTACATTTTGAAATCCTATTGTGTATTTTTTTTCCATAGTTAGGGTTGAATTCAGGGGTACTTAACCACTGAACTACATCTCCAGTCCTTTATTTTGTTGAGGGGGGCACCAGGAATTGAATTCAGGGACACTTGACCACTGAGCCACATCCCCAGCCCTATTTAGTATTTTATTAGAGATAGGATCTCACTGAGTTGCTTAGCACTTTGCTAAATTGCTGAGGCTGGCTTTGAACTCATGATCCTCCTCCACTGCCTCCTGAGCTAGGATTATAGGCATATGCCCAGATTCCCCAGTCCTTTTTATTTTTTGTTTTGACACAGGATCTCACTAAGTTGCTGAAGCTGGTCTCAAACTCATAATCCTCCTGCTTCACCTTCCTGAGTAGCTGGGATTAAAGGCGTGCACTATTGCTCCCAACTCCTACTGAGTTTCGTTTGATTGGAGTTTTGAGTAGTTTTGCCCTTCCTTAGGCACTTTAAATTATCTACCTTGAATTATTATAATATAACAGAAGTATTGTTAAAAGCCAACATTCTCACACTTAACTGCGCAAAGTCAGTGCAAATGTAGATGTGCAAAATACTTTCTTTGAACATTTGTTGAATTGGAGAGAATAGGACATGCCCATGTGGCAGTTATATCTTAAGGATGAGGAACCTACAGTGAGCTATATTTTGTTTGAAATCTAGGGGTTTTTAAACTTAATTTTTTTCTCCCCCAGTGTTAGGGATTGAACCCAGAGCCTCATATATGCTAAGCACATGTTCTACCACTGAGTTATATTCCTAGCCCTCCAAGTCTAGTTTAAAGTTTTCCTTCCTTCCTTCCTTCCTTCCTTCCTTTCTTTCTTTCTTATTTTTTGGTACTGGGATTGAACTCAGGGGCACTCAATCACTGAGCCATATTTCCAGCCCTATTTTTTTTTTTTTTTAAGAGAGAGTGAGAGAGGAGAGAGAGAGAGAGAGAGAGAGAGGAGAGAGAATTCTTAATATTTATTTTTTTTTAGTTCTCGGCGGACACAACATCTTTGTTGGTATGTGGTGCTGAGAATCGAACCCGGGCCGCACGCATGCCAGGCGAGCGCGCTACCGCTTGAGCCACATCCCCAGCCCCCTATTTTTTATTTTATTTAGATACAGGATCTCACTGAGTTGCTTAGCCCCTCACCATTGCTGAGGATGGCTTTGAATTCTCAATCCTCCTGTCTCAGCCTCCTGAGCAGCTGGGATTACAGGTGAGCGCCACCGCACCTGGTTAAAGTTTTTCTATTTGCAGGTAATTTTTAGTTCCAAATAGCAGGCCTTGGGCAGAAGGACAATTATTGTATAGAAGAATAACAGAGAAATTAGGAAACTCAGAGGTAGCCAAAATTAGGACAGGAAGAGGTCAGAAAACATGTTAATTTACACATTTATAGCTGCACATATGGAAAGGTGCTCAAGTTTAGTGTCTCTGTTTCAGCTTATTTGCCAGACTAAAATGGTTTCATTACCATGTTAGGCATTCCCTTCAGGATAAAATCATGTGCCTTAGAGTTTTGCTTAAGATAAGACTCTACCCCTGCTAAGTATCTGACATCTGTTTCCCACTGCTCTGGCCTTGTAGCAGTAGTGTGTCTCACCATGTCCTTTTCTCTAGGTATATGTGGTCGGGAATGAGCCTCTAACAGTGTTGCTGGATTCCCTGCTTCCAGTCCTGGGAGTGCTCTTTTCTCTCTACTGTTTTACCAAGCAGAGTGTGTCTCATATAAGGTAAACAATCAGCAGAACCTTATTTGCTTATGAGTAGAATATTATTTGTTTGTGTAGTGAATTCTTATTTTTTTTTTATAAGTCAGGAAAACATTTGGGGATCCTTTTATTCTCCTCATCTAGAAAAAATAAAGACTTTTGTAGATTGAGGGGGAGTGGATATAATTTTTAGATGACTTTCCTCAGCCTCAGTCCTAGACTATAGAGATGAAATTTTTTTTTCCAAAATAAACATGCTACTGTTTGATCTATGAAAAAATACTGCAATTATATGTCTAGGAAGGGGGAGCAAAGGGTGGCTCTTAATAACCTTGTGGAGAGTTAGAGATCAAGTCTGAAAAATTTGCGTGACTGTAGCATCTCGTAAGTTACCTTGGGATTTGGTATTGGTGATGCAAAATCTCAGTTATCCAGAAAATATTCTATGTTAAAATTTAAGTAGCACTCATTTTGTATCAATTATATTTTCACAGTCACTTATTGTTCTTCCTCCTGATAAGAGTTTATATATATCCTTTCTAAAGTCCTATAGAATTCTGATTTTGGGTGTTTCCCTAAAATGTAATTTGATAATAAATAATAGTCCTACTTTGCAGGGTCATGATGAAGACTAAATATGCATTAGAGTGTTTAGCACAGTCCCTGGCAAATAGTAAGCTCACTAAATGGTAGCTATCATTACCGTGGTTGGAAGAAGATACTCACTCTGTTTATTATTGAAAGCTTACATACTGTCTTTGGTTTTTCAGGTTTCACTTAGCTCATCATTGTAGCCAATAGCCACAATGACAATGACAAGAAAGGATGCAGTAGATGATGAAAGCTGTAGAGCTTTTGAATTTAGTTTGAAAGGATTGTCCATATAATAATTTGTTTCAGTTTTAAAATCTAAGTCCTCACAGCACTGTTATGTCCTCATCAAAGACCAACAAAGAAGATATGAATGTTTATTTCATTCCTATCTAGATAAAAGGGTATGAGGAAATTGCAGTATTTTGTTGGTATGCTGTTTCTTGGTCACAAGCTGTTGGTCCCACTGAGAATAGGTGGTTTTTATCAGTGTAAGCTTTCATTCAAGTGCCTGATCCAAAGGCAGTGGTACACTTGCAATTACCAAAAGGGATTAAAAAAAAAAGTAAAGAAAAGAAAAGATCACGTGCAGCTCACGTGGCATATCAGGGTTGCCTCCAGAGCCAAGGATTAGTCAGGCACTCATTTTGAATTTTAGGGTATTTGCATTCCGAAATTCACAAGATGCCTACTTTCCTCTCCTGTGTTTCAGTTGAACTAGGTGATTGTGCCAGCATTTAGAATGCAGTGGAACCTGACAGTCTTTCTCTCCTTTTTTATGTTAGCTTGTTAGAAGCATAGTGTAAGATGACAAGCTCATTCATAACTGCTTTTTCTGCCAGGTCATTTTGCCAAGAGATCTTATTATGGATCCTGGAAAAACTGGAAAGGAGGAAGGCAATTTCCAGCCTGAAAGGCTTTGCAGGATTGGACAAAGCTATACCCTCTCTCCATTCTCTCTGTCAGTTTAGAGCTGCCACCCAAGGTGGCATTATGATTACAGTTAAAAAGGCCATTAGGTGAGTTCACCCATCTTCTACTGTTTCATTCTAAATTTAATTCTACCTAAAAGACCATTCTGTGACTTAGCCACTAAGGGGCGCTAATAGAAAAGAAACCAGAAACTCAAGCAGCTGAGGCACTTGCTATTTATAATCTCCAAATGAAATGTAAGCCTTAAATGATCCTCCAGGTTTTTTTCCAAGATGCCAGCTAATAGTAAGTGCGATATATTGGAGCCTTACAGCACTGCATCACAACAAGCCCACTTCTCAGAGTCTGCCGGTTAATCAGAACAAAGGGCAGCACATGTTTGCCCTTAACACCAGAATAATCCTTCTCTATTTCTGACTTGCAAAATGGTGTGTATTCATAGTCAGGTTATTCCTAAGGAAAATGGTTTGATAGCTATCTTTTGTGGTAATTTTATGATGGGGGTTTGTTTCTCATAGAAATTTAATAGAAAGTACTTATTAAATATTAGTAGACTGGATAATTTATTTCTCCATCTGACAAATTTTATTTTTTGTGGTCCTGGGGATCAAACTCAGAGCCTCTTTTATGCTAGGCAAGTGCTCTACTGCTCTATACTTCAAGCCTTACAAGTATATTTACATTATTTATACTTTCTGAGTGATCTCAAAAGTATGTTATTACCTTCAAATGGAAGTTGTTGTAGATCATAGACCATGTACTACTTAGCTGGCCCAGCTGTCTCTACGGGATTTCATATCTCAAAGTGCTGCTTTTTTGGTGAAGTGTTTAAATTTAATTTTATATTCATGGTTAACTTAGTAAAGTTTTATTTTATTTTTTTGCAGCACTGGGGATTGAACTTGGAGTATTCTACTATTGAGCTATAGCCCCAGCCCTTTTAATGTTTTTTATTTTGAGATAAGGCCTTGCTAAGTTGCCAAAGCTAACCTTGAACTTACTATCCTCTGATCTCAGGCTCCATTTATGCACATAAATTACAGATATGTGCCACGGTGAAAAACTTATTAATTTGTTCAAGTTTTAAAATATTCTCAATTTGACAGACTTGAGGAAAATAGAAAAACGCATAAATTTCAAGTAGAATTGTCAGAACAAACTAAAGCTCCTAGATTACTGAAAGCTTGAACATTAACAATATCCCAAAACCAAAAGAGTAAAATTACTTGGCATGTTTATTTAAAAAACACTTTAAGAACTGTTTTTAACTGGGAACCATGTTAGTGATGGTATAGAGAATTTTGCAGTAGTTAGCTTACTAGTTGTAATTTACTGCAGTCTTAACAAGTTTTTGGTATACTTCTTAGTGCAGGTATATCAAAATCCACAGTTCTAAGCCAGCCTCAGTGGCATATACCTATAATCCCAGCCAATTTGGGAGGGTGAGGCAGGAGCATTGCAAGTTCCAGGCCAACCTCAGCAACTTAGTGAGGCCCTTAGAGAGACTCTGTTTGAAAATAAAAAACAGAAGGGGCTTGGGGTATACTAGGATATAACGCAGGGATAAAGTGCCCTGGGTTCCATCCCTAGTACAAAAAAAAAAAAGAGAGAGAGAAAGAAAAGAAAAGGACTGGGGATATATCTTAGTAGTAAAGTGATTGCCTAGCATGCATGAGACCCTGAGTTCAATCCTCAACACCACAAGAAAAAAATTTCACCATTCAGTTCTTACTGAAACTGTAGTTTCTCGTCAAGATAGGAAAGGATCAGTAGACAATGATTGAATGAATGTTTATGGGCTATCAGAAGGAATAGCTCCTTAACTTGGGGTTTCTACATAGGCTTCTAGGGATCTATAATCCTCTTGAAATTATGCAGATAAATAAATTTTACATGCAAATATGTTTTGTTTTGTTTTTGGAGAGGGTCCACAGTTTTCATTAGAAACTTAAAACAATCTATGTTTCCATAAGGTTGACAATCACTATACCAGATAAATAAGAATGTGTGTGTATATATGTGTGACTTGTCATTTGCTGTATAGCTCCTGCTTATGATGTTAGTCCCCTAGAAGCAAGCTCAGGCACTTTGCTCTCTATCACCACTTACCTCTCATTCTGTCATTTTCCCAGGACACAGTATCAATACGTTTGTTTAAGCCAGGCATGATGGTTCATGCCTATATTCTCAGCTACTTAGGAGGCTGAAGCAGGTAGATCACTTGAGCCCATGAGTTTGAGATAGCCTGGGCAACATAGTGAGACTTGCCTTAAAAAAAAAAAAAGTTTATAGTAGTAACTTTATCTGAGCATCTTTGAATTTAAGATCTTGGATATAGAATTTTTACTTTTTATATCTCACTATTTTGAATTGATTCTTTATTGTTCACATTTTAAGAGTAAATAAAATAGTGCTTTTTAAGCTAATTGTCATAACTCTTTAAGAATATTTGAATATAGTATTATTATTATTATTATTATTTTATTTTTTTTTTTATACCAAGGATGCTTAACCACTGAGCCACATCCCCAGTCCTTTTTATTTTTTATTTTGAGATAGGGCCTCATTAAGTTGCTGAGGGGATAAGTTGCTGAGGCTGGCTTTGAACTTGGGATCCTCCTGCCTCAGCCTCCTGAGCCTCTGGGATTATAGGCAGGCACTACTATGCTTGGCTAAATAAAGTACTTCTTTTTGACAATCAGGATGATTCACAGAATCTTAGAAATAATATTTGTCCATTTCAGCTTTTCTTTTAACATAGATATAATGGAGAAAACATGACTGATCTGAAGGATTCTGGGATAACCTAGAAATAAACATAAGCTAACTGTATAGGTTGTTTATTCTACTACAGGAGCATGAAGGCCATGTTATTTGTGAGCTGGCAGATGGAGATAACCTGCCTAAGGATATGGTTGCCCAAATTAACTACAGTGCTTTTCAGTGAGATAGAGCAACATTTGCCATTTTTTAAATTAATTTAGTCTGGAAAAAAAAATCGGCCCCTTCTCTGTTCACAAAAATGACATATATTCTTTGTAAAATGCAAAAATGCATAAAAAACCAGAATCAACCACTATCCTATTAGCTATTTATAGTATTTTAGTGTTTGTTTTGTGAATCTTCTGTATCTTTGTTTTTTTGTATGACATGGTATAGTAATATTGAATCTTGGTCTTTTCACTTATCAGGTGAATTGAAACCCAAATCCACCATACCTCATGAGAAGTGTCCAGAAATTTTATGTAATAATAGCATTCTTTTTAGAAAAAGCCAAATTTTATTACTTTACAGTCATATTTGATCCACTCATTTTTATGAACTTTTTTAGTACTAGGGATTGAACCCAGGGGTGCTCAACCACTGAGCCACATCCCTAGCTCTTTTTAAAAATATTTTATTTAGAGACAGGGTCTCATTGAGTTACTTAGGGCCTCTTTAAGTTGCTGAGGTTGGCTTTGAATTCTCAATTCTCCTGCCTCAGCTTCCCGAGCCATTGGGATTTCAGGTGTGTGCCACTGTCTCCCCACCCACACACTTATTTTTCTGAACTTTTACATATTTTCTTATTTCGACCCATTGATTCATATGAGTTGAGATTGACTGCATCTCCTTCTGTGATGATTGTCTTTTCCCATTATCCATAACTTTTCAGTGGCTCATCATAAAAAGCCAAACTTCCTTTAAATGACATCTAAGGCCCTTTATGATCTTTGTAGCCTTCTGTTTCTCAGTTCTTTCTCAGGAACCAGAATACCATTTACTTTCATTCCTCCTTGCTTTGGCAACTTATGAAATAATTGTAGTTCTTCAACATTCATCTTAAAAACCACTTCCTTCATGAATGTTTTCCTATGTTAGCAAATGAACATATAGGATATAGGACATAGTAAATATAGTTTCTGAGAAAAAATTCTTCATGTTTTGTCAGCATGGAGAAATAGAAAACTAAGTTAAATAAAATTTTTGAGATCTTTCTAATGATAAACTGTATGGAAATAATGTTATTTTGGAAGATTATTATGGGGTTTCAAAAAACATTATCTCTGGGTGACCCTGTCAACATAAATCTTGTTCTGCATTGCAGTGATGAAGATGAAGATGAAACCCTGTACCAAAAACTGTCCTCAGAGCAGAGCCAGGTGGAGCATCTTGGGGACTTGCTGTCTCATTGCCAGGCGTGTGGTTTGGCAGGCGACTTCTTCATCTTCTGTTTGAAGGTAAGAACTCCATATAGTTTATGGTAAGCTTTATTCTGAGGTAGTTCCAGGAGGCCATTTGAATTTTCAAGACATTCATAATTTTAGATCCTTAAATTTAGGTCCCAATTTAGGGAAAATGAATAGACCACATATATAAGGGTAATTGGGTTGGTAAAAAGAAGAAACTTATCCTCAACAGTATTGATATGATCTAACTACTTTCCAAGGTGATGTGCACTGAATTGTTAGAGATAAACAAAACAAAATTATTGATCTATGAAAGGGTTAATCTTTGCTCTGTGTTGACAGTAAGAACTCTTTTGAAGTTAATAGCAGGCTTTACAGCTATGGAGTAATCCCTTATCCTCTCTGACTGTTGTTTTGTCAGGTATTTGGAACGGAGATTTAGCAGTTGTGCCGCCTTCATTTCACTCCATAGCCACTTGAAACCTCTTCTGGGTTTGTTTCTTAGTGCAGAAGTTATGATTCCTTTTGCCCTAATCTGCAGTGGTAATGTGTGTCTCACAATGTTATCACTGTCTGATAAACACCAGCCAGTGATATCTAGCTTTGCTTTTTTAACTCTTTCCGTAAAGAAGGTGTTTACGTTAAGATGTCTGTGGAGTTTAAGATCTGTATGGGTGTATGAGAATGCAAAAAGAAAGTCAGGACTAACATTTCTAGAAATTGAAATAGGAGACTCTTTTTTTTTGATACTTTCTTACCTCCCATATTTACATCCATCCCTTCACCCAGCCACTCATTCTAAACAGCATTCCCAGGAGGTGTGTTCAATTGTATGCTTTTTCTTTTTCTTTTTCTTTTTTTCTTGCTTACAAAACAAAGGGCTTTTCTGTAAACCAGGTTAACTCTAGTTGTCATGCTTAACATTTTGTGCCAGATAAATTTTTCTTGTGTGGAGTTGCTTTGTGCATTATAGAATATTTAACAGCATCCACGACCTTTACCCATCAAATGCCTATATTACCCTCTAATGATGACACTCAAAAATGTCCTTCAGACATTGCAAAGTGTCCCCGGAGGAGCAAAATTGCTCAGGCACAGTTGAGCACCACTGCTGTAAGATGTCAGTTATTGTGATAAAGCACTAATTGTTAGGGAACTTAAGGTTTCCCTACCCAAGGAAATTTACAATGTAGATGGGTCTGTAAAAGCCTATAAAAGCCACAATAATTAACTATCCATTAGTAGAAGTTTAGTTCTAAGTATCTTTTTTTTTTTTTTTTTTTTTTT